TTTATAACTTAAACAAAGTTGTAAAGTCAAATTTAAGATCTTTCAGCGTTTAATAATGTTAATATTTTTTAGTAATATTTATATATAATATAACTTTAATAAGCATCAGTGATACATACAATTTTTTTAGTATATCGTATAACAATATTTTAATATAATGACACTAAAATTCAAAATATACACTTTTTTAGTATGGTATGACTAATGTTCTATCGTTATAATTAATAAAAAAAATTGAAATGCCTACAGAATTTTAAAATATCAAAACACTTGGACAAAAAATTGTTGGTTGCGACATAAATCTTAAACTATTTGATTATGCAATTAATTTATTTACATAATTAACTTTTAACTATAATTTTACATTAAAACCAATATTCAAAATAAAATAAAATAAAAAAGTTGGGAGGCTATGCATTCAAGAGCTTTCTTAATGATTAATACTCGTAATTAATTGAAAAATAAAAAAATCTTTCTTACAGATTAAAGGTAACAATGCTAAGTGAATGTAAATTATAGAAATAACTATAATCAATAAAATTAATAACTCAAAAATTATTAATATTCTATGGAAATGTGTATTGAATCAAATTTGTAAGGTTAAAAATTTTGAGAATATTACACTCGAAATTTGGAAGAATCTAATATTAGATTTTGATAATTTTTTCTCTTTATCCAATGTTTAAGTGAAAAAATTGCAAATTTTAATAAGCACTAAACTGTTTTTTTCAAACTGACAACTCGTACTTAAATTCGTCGCAAGTGAAATTGACATTAGAATTTTCAATTCCTCAAAACTAACATTTACACATTGTACGATTGTAACAATAAGAGATGAGGAAATAAAGAAAAGTTTGTACTGCATTGGATGACCGAATGCAAGTAAATTTCGATTAAAAATATAATATTTGTAAAAAGTAATTTCAAAATAACTATCCAATATAATAATTCTTTACATAATTCACACTATTGAAATTCATCATTGACAAAAGTTAAAAGTTTATTATTGGTTGTTTGCTCTATAATAATAATAAAAAAAAAGAATGGCAATCATTTTGATCAAAAGAGACAATAAAAATTTGTGATTAATAATTACACATAAACAATTACACAGAGAAAGTAAAATAGAAAGAAAAAAATTATTCACAATTGAGACTTAAAGAGTAAGGAAACTCTTATATAGTTTTTTTTCCTTCATTTGTGCTAAAAATTTTGTCGAAAAATGTTTATGTTATGGAAACTAAAATGTCCTAATTATGTATTGATTAATAAAGTATTTAAAGATTGCGAGTATGGATTGAATTTATTATTTTCAAAAGAATTTTTCAGAAATGCAATACTATTTTTAATATGTATTATTAGGTTTGAAAATATTTCGGAAATGCAATACTATTTTAAATATGTATTTTTTAGTCATTTTCAAGTAAATTATATATATAAATAGTATTATTGTAATTTTTTTTATTTAATGGGACTCAAACAGCTAAGAGTATAGTTCACCACAAATATAAAAAAAAGTAAAATTAAAATGCGAAATCGAATGTTTGCCGTCTATTCACACTTAGGTTGTTGAAAAGTAATTTTTTTGTATCATATTTTATCAATTAATATAAATTAATGGTGATTAAAAGTTGATGGATTATTATAAAATGACTTTTCGTTTAATACTTATTAAGCAAACATTAGTTAACAGGAAATTTTTTGTTTTTTTTACTATTATGTTATATTTTCAATGAAATCTTTTAGGAATGCCTTTTAATCTATAATATTAGGTTTTAAAAAAATTGAGTGTATATATAATTTTATTGTTTTTATAAATCTTACATATTAATATTAATTGATTTAATAGTCTATGCCATTTCATGTTAATTATATATGTGGTATTGTTATAATTTTTATTTTGTTTTTATATAAGTTTTTATTAATCTATAGTAATAATTAGTAATAATAGTGTTTAGTGGAAATTAATTGACTTAATTTAAAAGATAAATAATTTGAATTCTAATAATAATTGAATTTAGTTGAAATAAATTTAATTTTAAGGGTATTATTGATCATAAAGATAAAAACATAAGGGTAAAATGGAAAAGTAAAGATATGAAGAAAAATGAAGGCATATTGGACTTAACGCTAAATAAGTAAGAGTACAATTGGTAATTAAAAGTTTCTTCTCAATCCCCACTTTTAATATATTGTAGATAGATAGATTGTAGATGTAGATTCTTGATTTACACTGAATTTATATAGAAAATTTTAGAATATACATATTGCATATATATTTTACCCTTCTAACATTTTTTTCCTCAATAAATGAAAATCTTGACTCTACTACTGATTGGTTAGGTCTCGAGAAATGTCTTAGATGTTGTACAAGTTTAATAGTTACAGGTAATGTATTAAAATAAAGCCTCGAATTGACGAAGTTGTTCGATCACTAACTTGGCCGTGGGCTTCTCTATAATCAACTTCCTCATGCTTTTTGAAAGAGTAATGAAGTATCCATCTAAGTGCCAATTAAGTCTTTGTTTGTCAATCATTCTACACATTATTTTTTCTAAAGTACTCATTTTCAACCACATATTTTTCATTAAAATAATATTGTACATAAATCAAAAAAATTTCCTTCTTCTTTAACCACACATTTCAATATCAATCACTAGTCCATAATATACTTTTTGAAATTAAAGGGGCTCAAACAAGCCTTAAATGATATTAATTAGATTTATTGTAAATGTAAGTTCACATAATTCATTTAAATGAATATATCAAGTGAAGTAACATAAATTGTTGCTCTAGCACCACTAACATTAAGTGTGTGTTCGAGCCACATTGTTTTAAAAGAACGTATTTTTAAATAATAAATTGATGGATAATGTGTGGTTAAAAATAAGAAAAAATTTTGTATTTGTGTATAATATTATTTTATTAAAAAATTTGTGATTTAAATGATATCAAATTACTGTTTAAAAATGTATTTTTTTTTTTTTTTAAAGAATGTAATCCAAAGAGGGCCAAAATGTAATTATTATTTTTGAAATACCAAGTATCCACGTTATAATTGTCAACGTATTATAAACAAGTGTTTTAGCGTTTGAATTTGAGCCTCGTTTAGCATCACAAAGGTATGAATGTCTCTTGACTCTAGAAGACATTTTGGTATACGAGGATAAGTGTCATATGTGTGTCTTCCTTAATCATATTTAATTCAACTCAGTTTGATTTGGTCGATTTTTTGAATTTTTTTGCCCACTCCTAATCATATATTTTTTGAAAACAAGGAAAATATTTTCTTACGGAGAGTAGTTTTTTATTTTTCTGGTAATTTTTCTCTTTATCTCTTATCTATCAATTTCTCTCATCTACCCACTAATAAAAATGGATAAATATAACATTTTCTAGATTAAAAATCAAATCAATCAAGCACATTTAATTGATAATTTTCATGTAAATAAGTTCTAAGCAATTTAATTGCTAAATTTATTTTCTTTTCATGTAAAATTTCATATTTGCAATAAAAATGCACCCAAAATGGATTTATCACATTTATTGCCATCTAGATTGCTCTTACATATTAGTAGGCTAGATAGAATTAATCAATAAATTTACTATCTATCTACTTGTTTACTGATTTGCTATTATAAATGTTTGAAAAATTTATAAATGGTTTCATAAGTAGAAATATTGAGAGGAATAATGAATGGTTTATAAATTTGTATAATCTACCTCTATTGTCCCCAAAATAAATAAATAAATAATAATCCGACCCGAGTACCAGTACCGACCCGTCAAAACCCTTGCCGCTTAGCTTTTTACAAAAGCTACATAAATAGACACACACTCAATAAAACTACTTCAAGTTTTTGTTGGTGTACCTCTGGATATTTGTGAGATTTTGAGGCAAGAACAGCTATAAAACCGTCTAATCTGGTACTATTTGTTCTACTTTCATATTTTTAATTATTATACTGTCAATTTTTAGTTTTAAATTTTCAAATTTATAGTTGATATATTTTTTAAACTAGCAAACTGAATGGCTACGTTCGGCACTACGTCTGCCACTGCAAATCCAAATCCCAATCGTTCTACTGAGGTAATTTTCAATTAATTTTTA